TTCACCAAAGCTGTATAGACAGCACTTTTCAAACCCATGAACTCAATACCATCAAGAAAGACAAGGACAGCAGATGCACAGGATCACCACCTCCTGCAAGTTCCCCTCCCAGGCTCTCTTGCCTGACTATTTAAATCCATGTCCTCAAGATAGTTATTTTGCAGCCTGTGGAAACAGCTTATCCTGAGTTATTCTACCTGAACCTGAACACAACAGCTAACAGGTGTCTCAGCTCCCATACATGTACAATACAGATTGGGAAACAGTCAATCATTCACTCCTGTCTGGTACTGTACAGCCCATTTATGTGCTTCTGTATCAGCTCCAAATACAGACTAGTGAATAAATTAATAATTCACTGCTGTGTGGTAGTATCCAGACTGGAGTATGGATACACTGTGTGTGTGTATCAGCTGTATCTCCTGTCCATGTACAGACTGGGATATAGATGAAAATCCACATACAGCTTCTGTAAACCTTCAGCACAGTGTGTGAAAGATTTCAATGTTCCAGTTATAAGCACAAAGGGAACAGAATGAGGGAGCTGTGTCCGTGCGGTTCCTAAAGGCGGTTTTCTGATCATTAATTTGTGCAAACAATGATTCCATTTTAGAACCTGGATTGCCAAGAGGGAATCTAACCACAGACCAACAGCACCTTTGATGGACTTCCCATGGCAGAATGTAACCCTCAGGTTGTATCAAAGGACAGATAATTATAAACAAACCATCTGCTCCCCTTCGGGAGCTGACTAACTCGTCAATAAGTTGTAGGTTTCCTGGATACATATACACGCTGTGTGTTGATGGTTTATAATACCTGTGGACCTCCCATTGCCATAGAAACAAAATGTGCCAACATGTCTGGAGAGGATCCTCATAGGCCTGCATGTATGGTGCCCCTCTGTACCAATTTAGCTGTGGTTTTTGACACCTTTCAATAGAATGGCTCGATAGAACCAATATGGCCTTCTGAGCAATTCCACCCTCATGGGTACTGCAAAGCCAACTAAAGGCCCAAATGAGGTGTCTGGGAATCCGCCTGAACAGCCGCCTGGGCTTCAACTGCAGCGTTCCGGTATCGACAGAGTTAAGTTGAAGGAATACTTCAGGTCTCATTTGATCCAGTTCACTGGTCTTTCTTCCCCCAACTCCCCAACACACTCCTCCACAACACGCAACCACCAACCCTTCATCTCCCATGACGCCCAATTACCTGGTAATAGATCAGCTGTCCTTTGGGAATGTCAAGGGAATAACCGAACAGCCAATGGGTTGTCGGCTCCTCCTCAATGTAAACAGGTGAGCAGAGGGAAGCGGGGCCCATGAGCTGACTGCAAACGGGACAGGCCACGCCAGGGGGTCCTAACCTGGCAGAGAGGGAGAGACGCACTAATTCACCAACAGCCCTTCCTGTCCCAGCGACGCACCTCGACAACACCTTCAGCAGCGGCAGGTAATGTTGCTTCATTTCTTTCCCTCGGCACTTCCCTTTTCTTTAAAATGACTCTCAGTATTATTTCTTCCTCGGGGGCATGTCGCATTCAAACCTGAGCGTGGGCAGGAATATAATTGGGCATTGTGCATCGACTGACAGATTAAACTGTTGAAAGCTGGAAATCTGTTGACTTAATGACAGTGTGTGTCGGGGAGACAGTGGGACTGCTGTTTTGTTGTTTATCACTGTGTTATTGTGGCAGGGTTCTTATAACTGCAAACGGGGAGCTCCTGATGATAACTCTTCTCCAAGCTGAGCTGTGCCGTTATATCGATAGCAGAGGGACTGAGTCCAGTTGCACGCTCAGTGACCCTCCGACCAGGTGTGTGATTAGTTGACGATGATAAAGTTTGTGTTTCTGGGATTTATCATTGTTTGTTCTTCTTCAAGCCCGATGCAAAATGGCTGCATCTGTAGACCTGGGCATAGGCAGCGTAGTTTAGAGGACCACTTTTCTCTCAATGCCAGGGCCAACCTAGTGGCCGCATGTGCGGTTGCCACAATGGTACAGTGCACCCCTGAACATCAAGTAGCAGGAAAACCTTTGCCTGAAACATATTCTGCCACCTCCAATCCCACCCACAAGCGATGGGCCCCTTTGAGACCCACAGTTGCCTACCGTTGCCAATCAGCCCCATGAGGTGGCTGTTATCTCCACCAGCATTGCCGACCGGGTGATCGAGTTGAGAGGGAAATTGACAATTGAGTAACATGATCCTCACGAGATAAGACTTACACACTTCTTGACAGCCTTTGATGTGTTTGCTGCAGGCGGAGCAATTACAAACACCCCAGAGCACAGTGAAAAGAGAGGTCTCACATTACTACAGCACTTTCCAACAGCTCACCACCTGCAAAAGACCCTTACACCCAATGAGCTCTCGTGTGCCCTATATTGTAAAGAAAGGTGGCAGTGAACATGTGCACAGCAAGCTCCCACAAGTGGCAATGCCAGCAACAAAAACAGAAATTACCAGAAAAGCTCAGCAGGTCTGGCAGCATCTCTGGAGAGAAATCAGAGTTCACAATTTGGGTGCACTGACCCTTCCTCAGAACTGAATGAGCTTTTCCAGCAATTTCTGTTTCTGTTTCTGATGTCCAGCATCTGCAGTTAATTTGGTTTTAACTGAGCAATACCAATAAATCTGTTTGTCCAGTTGTAGGAAAGAGATTAATATTGTCCAGAGTCTGGGCAGGTTAGCCCACAACACCCCTGCTGTGTTTCAGAATATTAACCTTCGCATCGTTGATCATCCAACTGGGCAATTCTTAAATTCTCCTGCCTTAGGAACAGTAACTCTGTCAAAATGATGCAGCCTCAGGACTTTACATCAGTAGGGGCTTCACTCAGCGTACTGACCCTCCGACAGGGCACTCACCCTCAGCACTGACCTTCCGACA